TAGCTGGTGTAGGCTGGCCGTGGACTGGGGAGAGCTGCACTTTTAGTTCCCTTGAACAATGACTGGGTTGGTTAAAAAAGCAAATCAGAACAATAGAACACCTGGACAGTTGTCGCCGACACTTCACTGAAAACATGACCTGACAGTAGCAAAACCAAATCACGCAAATTTCAAGTCCATTCAACAAATAGGGAAGCAAAAAACTTACCGACAAATGAACCCAGGCTTATTAACGTGTCAAAAAAAACAAAAATACATAATCGAATTCAAGGATTTCCATATTTCTTTTCCTCAAAACAGGCAAATCTGAGGCAAAGAGGGTTAGATATGAAGCATAGGCGTGCATCACTGCCGATCTAGATAGACGTTTACAATCTAGGCAAATTGCGTGATTAAGCGAATCCATGGAAATTTAACGCAAATAAAAATATCACTGTGGTATGAATGCTTAAATAGCAAGAAAATATATTTTATGAAAAAAAGAAGCGATACGATGGTGAGAATTACTGCAAAGTAAGGAATACTCACCATGATCGTCCACAACAGCATCCTTCGTCATTGTAAAGTCTGCTACGACAGCAGTAGCAAAGGTAGCTGAGACTCCAAATGGATCGGCATTCACACTTCTCCCTTCCTACATCGTGTATCAAGCTTAAAAGGTGAAAAAAATGACTTTTAATGACGCTGCTGCGGTACTGGTAAGTCCACTGAAACCACATTTAAATACTCATATTTCTACATTGCTGTAGGGTTCATTAGTTAATACTTAAGATTGGAAAACAACCCTCCCAAATATTGCTTGAGACACAACCTCTCACTACCACAATACCCCATTTATAGTGGAAGTGATCGTCAAGGGCAATTTTATACAATTTAATGTAAATTCATAATGCAAAACGTGAAGCTCCCAATAATATAGCATGGCCAAGATAAAAGCACAAAGGTGAAGAGCACAATCTGCATAAGTAGGCTTGAGCCAACTGAGGCTACTTTCACTTCCCTTCAAGATTATTTATTTGACTATGTGGATAAGTACACTGAATGAAACCTACACGTATCAAGATCTGACCTCGGCTTAAAACCTACTTAAACAGCAGCAATGCCACGGTACGCGGAAGGCAGCATTCTGCTAAGGGAACTAGAGAAAGTACCAGATGTACATGTCTTAAAAGGACTGAAGAGTGGACAACGGCTTCTAACCATATCTCACAAGTCAAACCGCTTAGGCATGTACAAGCTACAAACAGATAAATATGGCAACAACACGGTATACAGAGGTTGACTTAAAATAACGACATGCTACTTACAGGTCAGGACTTGATTTAAGAGGAGTAAACCGAACTCTAATTCGACTTCCAATAAATCAAAGGTCTGAAATAAGTTAGCGGGAACTTTGCCTACCATAAACACCAGCAACAAGTATGGGCGAAACCGTCAAGAATAACCGTCGCAAATAATCCAGGTGCACATACACATGCAAACCCAAGCATACCGGCACCAAGCGGGAGAAGCAGATCGCACGATCCCTGACGAATTCAAACAAAAAAACGTCCTCAAACTGAAAAATAAGAGAAAATTTACTAAAAATTAGTGCATTAAAAATTTATCTTATCTTTATCCTAGTTAAAAAGTCAACTAGCTGTAGGGAGATCTAAACTAGTAACCATTTAGTTTCTTGGCCAAATAGCCACTAAGTAAATTTTAAAAAAATACGCATTATTTGCGAACCCTACTGAGTAAAATGCAATTACCTAATATCGCTTCCTACAAGCCCTATTCTGAAATGCATGATGGGGAATTAGTGTAGCGTTAAACGATGGGTGTTTATCCCTTGGTATTAGAGGAATCACTTTTAAAGATGCCCTCGAACCATGCCAGCAGCCTAAATGCCTTCTTTTCACCGCATTTATATGTACTGCTCTAGTATTATGTCTTCCTTCGTCTTCAGGGAAGTCTCGGGACGCTGCAGTAGTGCCTTAAGTCAATAATGACTCTGCAATAGGCCACACCAGTAAGAAGCATTATTTACAGCTAACATAGTTAACGTTTGAAAGGGCAAGGGCTTAAACTTCAGCTGTCCGAGATACACTGATGAAGTATGCTTGGTAGAGTCCTCCAGTCTACAAACTGCTTCGTTCGAAATGCACAACTCTGTACTTAACTGATACGTGCTTAACACACCATGATGCAGCCCTAACAAGGTAGTCCACCGATGTTATTCAAAGATAAAGCTCATGCTTACATGGCTGTCTTTTGATGAAAGATTTAGGAGAGACTTCCTCGACATACACGCTCTCAAATGCACTGTCGTGGTTGAGAATTTACTCTCGTTACTGGATTTTACTAGACCTTAAGTCCAAGGTAAAGTGTCAAATTGAATCGTGTAGGATGTGAAATGCTCAACCGAATAACTAGAATATCCACAAACAAACTTCTCGCAGACAGACAGGCAGACGAAGTCATTTTCAATGAAAAAATTCTTGCCTTTCCTCCATCCTTCATTTCCTTACCCCCTTCTTTCTTCCTTGAAAACCAAGGCTCGCGTATAGCCTAAAAGATTCTGGACTCAGCTACCTCAGCTAGAGTGAGTTTAATATAGATTTGTGTGATTAAGGACACGAATCTATACAGACAGGGCATCATCAGCCTATGTTATTCAGCCACTAGCTTTGCCAGCAGTGTAGAAGAAGACAATCAGGAGATACAAAGTGAAGGTAATGATAGGAGAAAAGGGGAATTAGGTGGAGGGCGGAAGTGTGGAATAAGTGATGGATGGTAGATTCGTCTCTCTGCTGGTACAAGTTATTTCTAAATCAGAGGAAACTCGCAAGGCAACGGTGCAAATGGGGATGACATTCCTGTGTTATCAGAAAGTACCAAATGCGACCAGAGAAGACAATGCAAGGGAAAACTATCTGCTAAATGCTATCGTCAAAAATTTGCAAGAATCTTTCACATAAGCAAAATAAGCGGACTGATTTATAGAAGCTGATTTGTATTCTCACCGAATCAAGCCATTTTAGGAGACCTTTTGAAATCCAAGACATTTACAAATTAGCAGATATTAAACATGGATTTATCGTCAGAGAACTAGGGCCCCTTCACACAGCTAAAATTGTACTTGAAACAATCACAGAGACGGTGTGCATAAACTGCACCCAGTACAGATGATGCTTGCATTGAATTCCTTCAAATAGGACTGCCCACTAAATTATTTCATGTTGCGTTATTTGGTCTGATCAGAACTGTTTTAGCTACCTAAAGTCTGTTAAAAAAGAGTGCAAAGAAAAAAAGTAGTTTTTTGGCAAGCAAAATACAAAAGACACCTCTAGTAACCAGTAAAAGTGTGGTATTGCGTGACAGACTTCAAACATTTTCCGTTATCTAATGATACATTTAAAGACATCCAATACCACAAAGTGGAAGTAAATTGCCCCCAGGTTCGCCTTTTTATTACTGCATTGACCAACTCGCCTAGCTCGGAGTATAGCCCTAGGATTTAAAAACATTCTTTTATCTAAATTTTCCAAGAAGCACGCATAAGGTATGCTAATCGAAACTCTCCACTTTTGGGCTTTAAGGCGACCTACAAAAGTGCTTAACTAGTCCCAAATCTGGCAGGATTTGCTGTGCCAGTGCTTCAGCAGAGGTGCTGGAAGTTAGTCATGTTCATTGAAGCTGGTGGTATTAACCGATGGATCGAACTAGATGCCGTGCCCACGAAGACATAGTTAGAATAGACAGGGTTGGCGCGAAACACTTTTATTAGGGAGAAGGGAAGGGGAGGGAAGTGAGTGTAAGTCCATGGGTAGTTGACGTTCGATGTTGACCCTTGTGGTTATCTGACGGTTATGGTATCCTGTGCCTTTACTTTCACCAGTACTTGTGCTTTTGCATTCCCTGTCACCTCACTCTCTTTCATCTCTTTCAGCTCTGTATGTGTTGCTGCATTTC